ACGGTGAACCGACGACTTTTCTTCGCCTATGGCTAAGATGACTTGACTGGTACCATAACGACATGCTTTTGGCACTCCCTTCAAGAACACATCTGATCCCCCCATTTTAATCATATAATCTTCTCCGTCATTCCGTAGTTTGAATTCACCGGTATCATTGTTAGTTCTAGGTGGGGTGCGTTTTGGCGAGTAACGTGACCGCCCCCCTGGGGAGCGTCGCTCCGTCTTTTTACGTGGTTCTGGCTGTGGCTCTGGCTGTGGCTCTGGCTCTGGCTGTGGTTCCGGCTGTGGTTCTGGTTGCGGTTCCGGCTGTGGTTCCGGCTGTGGTTCTGGCTGTGGTTCTGGCTGCGGTTCCGGTTGTGGTTCCGGCTGTGGTTCCGGCTGTGGTTCTTCCTGTGGCGTCTCTGATCTCTCCGCTGATCCCCCGATTGGTCTGTCCTGCTGTCCGTTGTGCGATTTTTCCCCTGTCTTCTCCCCTGATGATCCCACCCCCGGCGTTTTTTCCTTTGACTTGCCATCCTGCTGCCCTGGTGGTGATCCATGCCCGCCTGAGGTGGATTCTTCGCGATCGCCACTAGTCTGTCCCGTATTAGCGCCTGTCCCGGTTCCCTCGTCCTGGCCCTGGTCCTCCATCTCAAAATCATCATCATCAATTTCCATTTTATCCAGTTCTTTGAATATCTCTTCGACAGCGAGGACAGATTTACGATTTCCATACTTTCGACGGGAATCTTCCGGGATCTTCTGTCGCTTTTTAATATGCGACTTGAGCCCTTTACTCCACTGTTCTTTGCTTCGCTTTCGTCTCCCAAAGTTAAGCCGATCCGCTTCCCGTGCAAATACATTTAGAGCTTTTTTCCACTCATCATTTTCCCAGGCTCCATCTGAACGAAGAGAGTGTACAACACTAATCTCCCCATTACATAATTTCTTATCATTATCACCAACGATAATCGCGAAGGATTGATTCTGAAGTGATAAAATCTGATACGTTTGATACGTGCGACGAATAAAGGGATCAGATTGAAAGGTCTTAATATCGCCACTAACAGCTTCATAAGCCTGTTGGAGGGTACTCCTATATCCAGAGTACATAAGCTGTGCGTCTAGTTCAAATTGAAAACCCCTGCCTGTTTTGGAATTGTAATATTAACACCCCGCAAATGGTCGTAGTCTATGCTATAACCATCATAGAAATATTTTGCATCGACTTTTTCGAGGCACATTACTAGGCAGCGCATCAAAAACTTCCCGGGGAGAGGGGTCTGTGCTTTCAGGTAGACTTCTACGAATGATCTTAGAGGGTTCAGCGTAGTTGGGTCCCCAGGATCATAGTTTTGTAGAGCCTCCTCGAGTTCTCTGAATAACTTCTCCTTCGTTCCAGGATCAAGTTCGCCAGGCACTGCAACTGGAAAACGTATTGTCGGCAAGTCCTCATTCTCTGATTGCGATTCTGGTTCCGGTTTCGAGCTCGCCTTTCCCCTCACTCCTCCATTTCTAGTGCTCATATTTGCTTAAGTCTGCAACCCCAGAGGATGCGGTTATACTCCCAGAGGATACTACCGAACAAAATTTAGAAGTATTAATTATACTGCTAAAACTTCTCAGCCTCCACCTGGGAGACTGTAATAATCTAATAAAGAATGGGCTTTGAAGGTGTAAAGAATTATGGTAAATGAGTTTGATCTACAGACTATTGGTAGTTTATATACGTGAACGAGCAGTCGGGCTAGGAACTTGATGAATCGCACGTAGTAGTATAATTAACAAACACATAAACCTTTAGGCTAGCTCGGGTATGCTAAAGCTTCTAGCATTCCAGAAGCTCGGCTCCGTCGAAAACATATCTGTACCCCTTATTAGATTCGAACAGTTTACCCAAGCCCGAGTCATAATTATCAGTTCAGCAACCCGGAAAACCCAAATGGCCCGCCAACTTGGTACAGATTCTAAAGAAATCTACAAGTAATAAGTGTTTAACCATTGAGGCTTAGGACGGATTTCTGTACCCGCTCTCTACATTTGCGTACTTTCAAAGAAGAGATAAACAAAGAGGAATTGCTAAATTGATGCCACATACATTGCAAAGACCCACTCATCTCCATTTCTGGGCCAGCCCCACCACCCACCGTTTAAGCCTAATTTCTGTATATATCGCGAACAATTTAATATAATGGTAATGGATACATGTTGAGTTTTGGGCCAGGTACAGAACACAAAAAGTGATGAATTAGTAGCTAAACTTCGTTGCTCCGAACGTAAATGTAAGTCAAACCAATTAAGTAGCTAAATTTTGTAGCAGTCTACCACTACGGCATGTACCTACTCTAGGGGTGAGCGCTAGTTACCTCTTTTTTCACATAAGCCACCTTTTAGCTTTTTTGTATTATAGGTATTTATTGGTACACGCAACTTAAAGTCGATCTACTAATCTTGCAGGGAGGCAAGTCGAACTACACGCCTGAGGTAATCAAGTTAACTTGATACTCGGCTCACAAAACGGTTCATACTAAACCCGGATCCCGTAAGTTGACTGAAAACCGAACGAGTTAATACGCTGATCGGCACTCATGAGTCATTATCGTTTCGATGCTCAAACCATCAGGGGCTTTCAAGTCCAATACAAAATGTACAAGCACTAAGTTATGCTTTGAAACAAACTTTGAAACACCTGTGTCCCAAATGCATAACTTGGGGATACAACCTGACTACCTTGCCGCTTTCGTAATACAATTATGTTTTCATCGTCTGGCCAGCCTTCAGTTAAAACTGTGAAAAAAACACTCCGTTAAGGTAAGACCAGCCTTTGTCAAGCATCGGAGCTGTACGAGGGTCATCAGGACACCTTTCGTGCCACTATACATGTGTGTTATTTTGATATCCCCAACACAAAATGAACTCGTTCAAAAGGCAACGCCGTCGGGGGCTTTGGGTACGAGACGGGTTCAAAACGTAGTGTTTTGTTCTTTTAATGCCCGACTGCAAGTCGGGGTCTTATCACACCTGCTGTTTTTCTCTCCGGGGGCACATAAATTTCATGGAATCTCATGGAATTATATGCAGCTAGCCGGGTTTTAAGCAATCAATAATATAATTCTTTTTTTTCTAGCTAATAAGCCCGTAGGTAGCTAACTAGCTGAAGAGCCTATCTACGTGCCTAGTAGCTAGCTAGCAGAGATACCCGACTTGCAGGCGACGACCGGGTGTGGACGGGCGAGCTTCGGAAGACGAAGGCTTCCCGAAGCGGGGGCGGGTCGGAGCCATAGTCGGGCTCATCAGCTGCCCGCGGCAGCAACAAGTAATCAAGAAATTACTTTAGTTCAACAATAATTTATTTTTAACAAAGCTAACATATTTGATTTCTAACGTTGACTTGTTGTTTCGTTTGGGTGATATCATTATGTAGTTTGGTCGGCCGCAGCTCGTTCGCGCTCGCAGTCAGCCAACCAACCCGCCCCGCTTGATAACGAATTGTGTTGAGGTATCAAAATAACACACATGTGGAGTGGCACGAAAGGTGTCCCTATGACCCGTTGTAGAGCTTGCTTGGGCTTGGATGGTTCTGAAGCTCCTCATAAAATCGTTTGGCGATAGCTTAAGCGCCCCAATCTAGATTCCTCGCGGTACTATTCGCCAGCCCTTGCAATATTACATTAATAAGAAAATATATTAGGAAATTAGAATAGTCCTGTGCATTACCAATCTAAAGTAGATGTAGACGGAAGCAGCTCGAGAAGATCAAGTTCGCATATGCGAAGGCCTCACAAAACTGCCAATATCCAACACAGAACTCCGTCCAATATACCGCTCTCGAGAGGGAAAAAAAAAAAAAAAGGAGAAGACTCAAAAAAAAGCTCGCTAAAATAACCCACGAAGGACATTGATGTCCCACGTGTTATGCTGTCCATTATCATAGGAAGTGCAACCCAGCCAGAGACGCCCATACAATGATTGTATAGACACCACATCACCGCTCTCGCTACATACATCAAGATCTGAAATAGTAATCTGATATCGCTTTTTGAGATGGAATATAGTAAAGATTTGTGATGTTGACAGACAACAAGGTGTTGTTGTGAGATATCCCACAGTCTTATGACAGCTTTGTGCTATCATATTCGTACTAGCTGGAATTAAACTTAAAGCAAGTTTATCCTGAGCTTGAATTGCAATTCCCGTGGTAGTTCCAAGCTTATAATTATAAGTTAGGCATCTACCGGTGTACCGGTTCACGATTGCCCCCTTCCAGAGAACCCTCCTTTTGTTTGCTACCGTTGAGATTGAGACATTGCCAGCAAAGCCCCATCGAGCACTAGGGTTAAAGAAAAATTCTCCTGGGTGGCATGCTTCGAAGCTGATAGTGGTGTTTGGTGCCCCTCCAGTAGTCTCGGTCCCAGACGCCGGCTGGCCATAAGTGTTCCCTCCAGTACACTGGTTGTCTTTCAAGCACCAAAAATATTCTCCGCCACCCCATTGATTTGCGATAAAACGGTCGCCAGTGCCAAGATTGTATGGTAGGGCAGAAGCGACCTCAAGTCGCAAGTACAAAAATAGTAGCACGAGTAAGAGAAATAAGCGGAATTGTTCAAGAGGTACGTGCATAATTTTAGAAAGTTTATGCTTAGTCGGATTTAGTCTCGGTCCCAGACGCCGGCTGGCCACAAGTGTGAGTTGAATTATAATAAGTTGGCAGATGGCTTGAATAGAAGGAAAGAGAAGACGAAAGAATTAGGGAAACAAGCTCAAAATAAGTATTCGACCAATATATGCAGGCGAATTTGTAGTAGAAGAAAAAGGATAGTCGAGGAATTAGCCTGATTTAAAAAAAGCGAGGCACCTTCGTATTGCGGTAGTCAATCAAATCATAAAATAACTCGTATTGTTGAAAATGTTGGAGAATAGATTCCTGTCAGTGCGAGAACAAAAATGGACTGGATTCCAAAAATGGACTGGATTCCAAAAATGGACTGGGTGTTCCGAGCAAACCAAAAAAAAGTGTTCTCTCAGACGGGGAATCGAACCCCGGTCGTCCGCGAGCAACCATTAATTAGCACACAGGATGCACTGATTTGGAGTGACAGGCGGAAATCTTGACCACTGGACCATCTGAGATTACGTTTTGGTTCAGTCCACTGAACCAGACAGTCGTAGCAATTGTTGTGACGTCTATTTCCTTTTCACATCATGAAGCAAGAATTAACAAATCACCAAGCGGAGCTGATATTTTGTATTGGCACCGCCGTCTGTCATGTGGGAACGTCACGCCCAGTCGTCCCGTATCCAGCCTCGGCAGTGTTGCATGTTAGGGGTACCCGAAGAAAACTTGTTCAATTATCATGATTTTAAATTCGAATGATTATATTCTTCCGCTTATCCTGTTTAGAAACTAATTTCAGCTAATCCGAGTGTTCGATTGAACCAAGATTCATCGAGCAGGACGTCCGAATAGCGCATCATGCACCCTGTACGAATTCTTGACCTATGCAGGAGCGCGTAAACACGAATAAATCGTATAGACAAATACATTTTACTGCCGCCACTGCTCTTTCCTCCTTCCCTCCAGGATGTGAATCATAGGTATCAGAAGCTCAAGGCCTCTGAAGGTGTTTAAATTACGGTAGTGCGACTCATATGTACCGTTGGACGGTCTCACACTCGAACTGCTATCAAAAGCTACAAATATCTTCCCGTGTGAAATGTCGAAATAGATCTAAAAAAGAGAATCTAGTAAATGGAAAGATAGCAATAGTGGCAAGGGGTATCAGATAGAGTTAGATCTATAGATCTCGCCCGGACCGACAGTTTCCAATCCGTGTCTAGATGTATATTAACGCAATTAATTGATCAAAAATCGCATAATCACTATAAAGCCTCTCAGTGCTGGCAATGAACTAGGAGGCACTGTGACTACAAATTTACGAGCGCTCAAATGAACTAGCTATCGAACAAGTCGCCCGCACAAAGAAAGGGTAGTTTAGTGGCTTGCCGCTTTCCTTTGGGTGCTCGCATATTGGAATTAGGAACCCAAAATCGGACTATCTAGCGTGCAAGAATATCGGGGTGGAAAATGGGGCAGCCTTATATACCGGGCGGCTTGGATGTAGTATCATACGCGGCCCTCGAAACGCTGTCGACTTCGTTGGCCTCTGTTCGTATCGAGCGTCGCGTATACTTGGATAATCTACCAAATATATATCTCGCTATGGGCACTTCGCCTTAGGAAGGGTAAGGTAGCTATAGGAACGTTCGAACCCTGTTGTAAATACTAGCCTCCTCAATTATGGAGATGGAGATGTAATCCGCCTTCGATCCTCACGATCTCGACTCTTTCGAGATCTTGGGTGTAATCTCTCCTATAATCCGCACACCAACGCCGAGGCCTAGGAATGATGAGACCCTTGTAGATTTCGACTGGCGACCGAAGCTCCTGACCTTGTCCTCGAACCTTTGGAACTAATGTTAGTGGGTGTTACAAGGCGGTTAGGCTTTATACATGAAGACTTAAAACTCTCAGGGGGGCTCGAGAAGCTTAAATTTTCGCTTACTATTTTTCAAGTCAGTATCCATCTCGATGAGTGCCATGCAGTCTCGTTTACGCTACTCTGAATTCGAGCTGCTATGACTCTCTATCAGATCGGCTAGGCGAGGTTGGTAACCTAACTCTATAAGCAACCGGATGGATTCTATAACCGACTATAGAGGGCACTTTGGATAAACTACTCGACAATCAATTTCGATAGAATGGGGACTTACCAAAGTACCTCGATCTCAGAGGTCGATGACGATCCAAGTCGGTGTCATCAGCCAGCAGGTTTCCCTAATGATAACTCAAAAGTTCCGCTGATAATCTTCTGCTTGGCCTCGGGTTCCAGGGTGCCAGGAAAACGGCTAAGGAAGAGCCCGGGTCTATCCAAAATCGTAGATTTAATGCCGGCCGAGATGCTCCTTCAGAGTTTCCTTCATTTGCTCGCATTCGTTCAGACGCATCAGACCTACTCGAGAAGAATTAGAAAACCGGCCATTTGCCTAAGAATGTGCCAATTATCCTTCCGCCTACCTCTGTCTAAGTTAATACCGTGGAATCTGTCGCCGATGGCCTTTTGCATTAATTTAGCGGCTCGAAACTGAAAATTGTGTCCAGAGCAACTTCAGGCTTAGGCAGTCCGGATAGGCTTAGCTAGATAGACGGGATGGATAGCGGCACGCACGACGGAGAGCTATATCGGCGGCGAGCTCTCATATCACGATATGTTTGATACCGTCCACAATGTTTTCAATACCCTAGCCTGCAATCCAAAATTCTGCGTAATCCTTGCTCCCGTCGGGGCAGCGCACTCTAGTTTACGAGAAAAGCGGAGTCTTATGGCTGCAACTAGACTAGATGATCATATGAGTGGACACAAGACCACTCCACAACGTCAATCCCACAACGTCGGGACTAATCGTAGTAGAGTTCTCGGGGGTCCTCCCCCCGGTTCTGTTAGACCAGTTCAGTCTACCATGGGGGATGGCAACCCCTGTGAGCAAACTCAGATGGAAGGATCAGAAGGATTTAACAGCCTGCCCAATGAGCTTGCATTCATCGATGCATCATTGGGTGGTGTCACGATATCAATATCGCCCATAGTAATATAGTTATCGTCACAATGTACGAAGATTCCGGAATAAGCACCGACTCTAGCCAGGTAACCTCAGCTATTTAGGTACTTACTTGAATAAGTTTTGATTTTAGCATGAAAAAGATACCATTGATTTCAGGTATCAGTAGTCTCGAAGGTCCCTGTCGGCCGCAACAAGGATCAGCTCAGAACTCGGAGCCCAACATTTCCTGCCAGTCTTGCAAGTTGGCGCACTTCCATGCCGTTGCCTTCATGAATTCATTAGGAAATACAACATATAAAATACTAAGCTTTTGAGGCGAATAGTCCCAAACTGTTCCACACCACTTCTAAGACTCTCTTCACGTGGCCATATCTCTCTCAGTCTGTGTATAGCGGCCTTATCGAAGATTCGGGCGTTTATCCGATCCGGATATCGATTATCCAGTAGAGCTGTGTACAAGTGATATGCGGACAGCGGAATAAATATTTCTTATATCAACTTTGTGTTGGTGTGATGAATAGCAGGGGTTTAGACTGATCCTTCACATAAAAAGTTGGCTTTTTACGGCACGCATATCTGGAATCTATCAAAGCGTAGACGTTTATAGCCTCGGTTGACTTTAGGTTTGCGTCATACTGGCTTGATACTCTTAGGGTGTGGGATGGAAAATTCCAGTGTGGTAGGTAAGGTTCGCGCCGACATACCGGCGCTGGAGCGTTTATGTTTCACAGACTTTATTCGGACGCCGCGGGCGCCTTTGCATACTAGTCTCGAAGATCCCTGCCTTTGCATACGGATTTCGTAAGGTTTGGGGGCTATGCGGTATAAATTGTCTCATGATTCGCCAAACGATCTCGCTAAACCTGGTAACACAAACGCAATGCTTGAATGTTTGCTGGTCCGGAAACCCCTGCCGCTGAGAATCGCTACAGCTTGACAGCTGGTTGACATCAGCCCCATTGCATTACGCCTCCTATTTGCTGCGGACCTTGGTTGATAGGGATATATATACCGAGGTCCGGTCGTTTAAATATTCTACATAAACGAGGGCCGCCAGCCATGGGTAGGGGCACAATTCATTCTCAAGTTCCTGAGATCGGTTAGATCACTAATCGTAAGCCAAGGCTGCCACGGGTAGGGCTGCGCTTAATTCTCGGGTTTCTGAGATTGGTTAGATCACTAATCATGAGCCAAAACTACCATTGGGTATCATTATGTTGACGACCGGACCAAATATCCGATTCTAGAAAAGCACGGGCAGAGCGTGCAGATCATCCTAACTTTCCTAGGCCTGCAGAACCCATGGGCCCATATATGCCGCATTGGAGATTCAAATCTTGAGATTTTAATAAAAATCCTTCACACTGCAGCTATGAATCGTTGATATTATAGGTTAAATTTGTTCTAAAAATTTCGGAATAAGCTAGCTAGTAACGAGATGTTGGCGAAATTCGAAGCTGCAGGTGCGGCAAGATCCCGTAGAACGCCAGGCTGTAGGTGCTAAGTTACACCGCAGCATAAATCAAGCAACTCCAACGTTTCGCTCTTTAGAAGAGCGCTATAGAATAATAATAAAGCCTAAACTCCAGTTGCAGCAACATAATTTATCGATACTCAGGATCCTCCCCGTTGTTTCTTTTTCTCCAGGTATTCTGACAATGAAGTCAAAACCTCTTGACCATTTACGCAGCTGTATTGATCCCTACCACAGAATTCTGAGAACCCTTTTCCATGTATTGAATGCTCGGGCGCGGTATAGCCCTACAACCTAAAGCAGTGGTATCTGCAGGATGAATACACAAACCAAGATGTGACTTCATGAATTCATCCTGGCAATTAGTTCATCGCCTCAACGAGCTTCGGGGAACCATCAGGATACAAGGGTCACAAAATGGCCCTTGCTGATGAATTCCGACTGACCTCAATCCGAAAAGGGCGTACGCAATCTTTCCAACAAGCCATGTAAAGCATTATGGAAAGACAACGAACGCAAAAACTATATATGACATAGCTCTTCGCCGCAGATGATGTTCTCAAAATCACCATCACTCAAGACGATAAAAAAAAGCTCCCATAGATCTCTTAAAAATTCCTCTTAATTGCCTCCTTATTGTATTCCACCTGCGGAATCTCGAAATCGGAACAAGAAGTTGCGTACAGGACATAATGCAATACCTTTCAAAGATCATTGCTATTGGGCTCGGCCTCACTGGAATCGCCAACGCCCTTCCAGCGCCTGCGGAGACTACCTCGGAACCCGCTCTCAAAACTGGTTATGTATGGCCCAAGAACGGTTGCCTCCCACATCGGCGCGTTCCAGCTAACACTCATGTTACCAAAGTTGGCTCCTCCACCAGGTCTTGACACCTCCAAGCACAAAACCCCTCCAAAGGGGTTCAAGCCACCAAAGGTTGTTGTGAGCGTTTCTCCAGTGTCAAATGGTGGCCTCCAGAAGCGTCAATCTGATCCATATGCCCATGTCGTTTTGTGCGATAATTGGTACTTTGGAG